AAGTGCATAATTAAAGCCGGCACATTGTGCAGGCAGGATGCAAATCCATAACGTGACGTCATTAAGCTACTTTTCAGTAACCCACACTAGGGCCTGTTTTGGTTGGAAGTTGATTACTTCTTTATGCCAAAAAGGGGTTTCCAAGTGCTATTTGAAAATGGTGTCTGGTACGGCTGCTTCTGGAGCCTTGGGGTAATGGAATGCCACTTGATAACTCTAATCTCCTTGGCCCATGTAGGAGCCAATCAAATGGTGACCATACCAAGTCTGCCTTTAACATAACTTGCTGTGCCTACCAGGCAAGGACCGGGTGGTGCAGGACTTCCCAGGGGGGTCAGTGATAAGTACTTGCCACCCTGTTGATTGCACACGGATTTTCCAAATTGTTGGAAACCTGCGTAAGCAGTCATTGAATAGGAAGGAAGGAAGAACCCGAAAGGCACATGCTGACCAAGTGTTGTGGCAGGGCTGGACAAATTCCAGGAGCTAGGAAGCCAATGTTCCTTAAAAATTACAGTTGACGCGTAACTTTTAAGTTTCTCTCTCTAGTTATTGTCAATGAGGCTTTCTTCTAAAAAAAATAAAAAAAAAACCTTCTGCCTTATGTCTTATGCCTTATGGCATATTGCAGTAGGTCATGACATTCTCAATGAGATGTCTGTCTGTATATAGTTGGGATTTGCCTGCTGGTTAGTTTTGTATTGACAGAAGAAAACGGCAATATGTGGCGCAAGCATACAGACCTGGGAAGAACATACAAATGGGTAAACCTTGAATCTGCATAGGCTGTAGATGTATATTGGAGCCCACAGACATGGACCTCTTAGGTACTGTAAACTCCCAGTTATCCGGCACCCACGGGGAGTTTCCGCTTGCTTGAGAGTTAATAGTAACTTTCAAGCAACCGCCCCGAAGGTGGAAAGTTCTCTGGTCTGCTTCTCTGCTGTGTGCGGGTGCAATAGCCAGCACTGCTATTGGCTATTGCAATTTGAAATGGCTAATAGCAAGCATAGCTATTGCTTACAGATTTAAAGGATTATGTTAACGCTAAATACATTTTACTTGCTACCAAAATGTTTGTGTCCACATGTCTATCAAACAACCTGCAAACAAAATTGATGACCTGTTTTTTTTTTTGTGCTGGTTGTTTGAGTGTGCCAGTTGCTTGAATGATAGAAAATGGGCAGTTTACTGTACATGGTGGTTCACATTCTTGGTCCAAAAATGAAAAACTAAAAAAAAACAACCTGGGGCTTGCTACAGTGCAGTAGTTATTCCATTCACTAAACGTGGAAATAACAGTTCAAACTGTGCAATGTATTATTTACAATCTACCCTTCCCTCAGGTGCTCCTAAACATGCAGACTTCATATAACGTCCTAGTGGGGACTGCTCCCATGACCTGGCACAGCAAGTGCTTCCCACATAGCTACTGTGCAGACATAGAAGATATAATTCTCATTTACAGTTTCCTTTTATCATTAACTGTTTTCTGCGTGTCGAGAGACCTCTTCCATATATGTATCCAGTTTTTATCTTTTTAGATTTGTCTTATGTTATAAAACATTCCTCCCTTGTCTTTGACTCGTTCAAAAGCTACATCTGGCTAAGACGTTACCAGGTCTTCCGAGATGAAACTGAATGCAAAATGTTTTCCATTAGCACTGAGGGGAAACCACAGAAGTACAGCAGTAATTCTTGGAGACTGAAACTACGTCTTCGTCTCCTTGGAAACAGGCAGGGAAATCCGTTAATAATTCTCCTCAGATTTCTCATCAAGATGCCCCCCTCGATTCCATGTTTTTCTCACAGCACTCTATTTACGTGAAAATCCTGCCTAGGTGCTATTGGGATACGTTTTCAATCTATTCATGTTCGCTAAAGCCATGTTAATTAGTTACCGAACCTGGAGCACAAATTACGATTAAGCTTAAAGTGTGGTCTTGTGGAAATGGCAATTTACAGAAAAAGGTGTTGATGAAATAGTTTCCTAAAGAATTTAATTGATCTGCTTGTTTTTGTTGCTGTACAGACAAGTAAAGAGTGTTGAATGCCATGATTGAATGCCCCTATCAAAGTAGCTTTTGTCTTGCTTGGGGTTCCCTGTCTGTTCCCATGGCGACAACGATGCATTTCCTGTTTCTGAGGGCCATGGCTGCCTCTGATTTAGGCTTCTGTGGTTTCATTCACCACTAATGGGAAAGCATTCACAGGCTCAATTGCTTCCTCTTTTTGACAAGCTTCATGACTTGAGAGAAACAGAATCTAATAAAGCTGGCCAAGTATTGATCCTTGATATGTGTTACAGTATGATGTTACAGATGTTTTACCCCTTTATGACCAGGCTATTGCAACATAATCAGCAAGTTAATTGAGGAAATGTCTACCCTTATTATTTTAAAGTAAACCTGTGCCCCCCGCCCCTTTGCCTTTCACCACAACAAGAAAGCATCTATACCAGATGCTTGCATGGATGCTTACATGTCGGCTTTGGTCATCTGTACAGAAACTAAATACCCAAAAAATTTGGCTTGCCCTGCTATGCGCAACCAGTGTTTAGAAGTCACCAATTCTGACCTACCTTATTTAGTGAGTAAGCAATGGGTCAATATATGGTCAATATATGGGAGGAGGGAGAAGAGCTGAGCTGTCGGGGCACTTTGCTGTTAAAGGAGCAAAACTAGCATGGTGACATTTGTAGATGGCAGTTTACATTTAGCAGAACTAGACCCACTTTTAGCAGAACTAGATCCACCAATTTTAATGGTCTCCCAAAACAGTTACTGTTAAGGTTGCCAATGGCTCTCAACCCACCTTTCCAGCCCTCAAATGGCTGATGTCCTAGGTGATCATGTGCAGCACCATGGCAACTGCGATCCAAGTAGAGGCTAAGATGGCATCTTCCTTGGCTGTAAATGATATAATGTTGTAGTTCTGCTTCCAAGCTGAATTCTTAGAACTACACGAGAACTAACCCTCCGAATGCAAAGATTAAATGCTTGTTAGATCTAGGGGTAGAGTAAGGTGTACTACTTACCCTATCCCTGACTCTGGTAGGCTTCAGGTGCTCTCCTCAGTTCCCTGACGCTCTGCGTTGTGAACGAGCCCTCACTGTCCTTGCGTACAATGCAGGGCTATAGGGCACACATTGTATGTCATGACATCCTTAAAGAAGAGACTTTGGGGCACAGATTGTATAACACCTTATTCTTCTACCCATAGACTTTACAAACATTTAACCCTTGCAGTGTGGAGGGTGTGGAAACTAGTTTTCATGTGAATGTAACTCTAAGATAGAAAGAAGATAAAGTTCAAAATTGCCACCCGCTCTAGCCAGTGCAGTGCATTTTGTGGCTGTTTTACAGCCCTCACCATGGCGCTGTTAATAGGGTACGTAGTTGATTGGATATTAAAATGCATGCTGTCAGATGCGCCAAATGGAGTTGTTGGCCATGTGTAAGGTTGTGTGTCTTTTTACTGACTTTAAATAGGTTGATATCAACATCTGCAGACTCTAGGATACCTCTTATGTCCTTGCCTACCTCCCACACTGTTGCATCCTTATGACTAACACATAAAACACAAAGAGGAAGGAGTGTTGCAGAGTCGGTCCCCTGTACATTCAAGTGGACCTATCATTAAAACTCACCCTTCGCATAAATCGACAGGGCACATATAAGCCACTCCAATAGCGTTTTATGCAGTGGGACAAAGCAAACCTCTTGTCTAGCGTGAATATAACATTTCTGTTTCATCACTCCAGCCTAAGCAAAATTGACTCTGGCTGCCAGTTCTTCTTGCAGAGAATCTGCTGTTTAATCTGCATTTAGATGACATCAAAAAAGCTGACCCCATTTACATGGATAATTAAAACTATACATAGAAACAAGGCCTCTTGCATATTAAAGTGGATCTAAACTGGTGTGTTTAAAAAAAAAAAAACGGTGGCAGACAGGCATTTAATGACCAAACCAACTCAATAGAGACTCCAGCCTGCATGTGACCATAGCCGACTTGGTGATTACATGATCTAGAAAGCATTCTGGTTCCTGATCTTAAGTGAGGACTTAAGCTGTAGGTGACTGTCAAGACTAAGATCTACTAACCATGCAGTCAGCTTATGGCTCTCAGTCCTGACTGTGGATAGGGTTAGTAAGCACACTTTTTTTTTTTTTTTTTTAAGAAATTGGAGCTTGCATATGATACAAAAAAATGTAACTTTGGAGTAGGTTAGCCAGTTAATCCTACTAGGGCATTCATGTAATTGTGGGGTTATCCTGCTGGTGGGTAGTAGTAGTAGTATTGATTTAGGGATGCACCGATACCAGTTTTTCTGTATCGAGTACAAGTACCGATTTTTTTTTATTTTTTCGTTCGCCATTTGCCAATACCGAGTACCGGTGCATTGTGCCCCGATTATCAGGAAGTAGGGCGGCAGACCGTGACCCATCATCGGGCATCTTTATTGCCTGTGAAGGCGGTGTTCTAGTGAAATCAGGAAGTCAGGCAACGAGCCATGAGGCGTTGTCCGGCTTTCTGATCAGTCAGGAAACCAGGCTGCTTAGCAAATCAGGAAGCTGGGCAGCATGCATTGACCTGCCTCCCAGCTTCTTGATTGGCTAGGAAGCCGGCTTCACTTGTTCTTAGGCAGCCTGGCTTCCTGACCAAGCAGGGAGGCGGGTCATGACTTGCCGCCCGGGTTCCTGATTGGTCAGGAAGCCAGGCTGCCTAGGAACAAGTGAAGCCGGTTTATAGGCCAATCAGGAAGCTGGGAGGTACGTCATAATCCCACCACCCGGCTTCCTGATTGGAAAGGAAGATCTCCCTCTGACTGGAAGTTTCGGTATCGGGAGAGTATTGATGGTAATGTTATCAATAAAAATATTAATTCGGCCTGTTTTTGGATGGAGGATTTGTTCCTTCTAAAATTGTCTTATTTTGTATATTTGCTTGTAATTCATATATAATCTGAATCTGTTTTTTATTTGCCCTTATCCTAGGACTAAAGTCAAGTTGGAAAGCTTGGAAGATGCTTATGTTCTGTCGGGATTGGATGATTCTCTATCAGACAAGCATGGTTGCCCAGCCTACGTTAGTCCAGAAATCCTGAACACCAATGGCAGCTACTCTGGCAAGGCGGCTGACGTATGGAGTCTAGGCGTAATGCTCTACACCATGTTGGTTGGACGATACCCATTTCATGACATTGAACCTAGCTCCCTGTTCAGTAAAATCCGTCGCGGCCAGTTTAACATTCCAGAGACCTTGTCGCCCAAGGCAAAATGCCTCATACGTAGCATTCTTCGACGGGATCCGTCAGAACGGCTTACATCTCAAGAAATTCTGGACCATCCCTGGTTTTCCACAGATTTCAATGCATTGAATTCAGGATATGGTGCTAAGGAAGTTTCAGATCAATTGGTGCCTGATGTCAATATGGATGAGGAAACGGACCCCTTTTTTAATTGAGCACAAAACTTTCCTTTTTTTTTCGGTACTTGAGCTGAACATGTCCACATGAAGGAGTCCTTCCGGACTATAGTATTTGAAATCCGTATTGTTCCAGGACGGTCACTTTGAAATATGCTGCTCTGGGCTCCTTGATTTTTGAGAAGACGGTTCTGCAAGGAACTCTTCTACAGATGTAGCATTAAGGCTGCTATACAGTTAATCTAGTTTTTGTTTTTCCTTTTTTTTTTTTTTCTTCTTTTTGGAAAAATTAAGCATGGATCAGTTGTAGCTTCACCCTCTATGGAGCCAAGGAGACTGCACAAGCCAATTCCAGTTCAGCTACCAAAAGCCAATCCCAGTGCAGCTTTTTCACTCCTAGTAATACAGTTTTTTTTTTTTTTCTCAATGTTTTGCCATGCACTTCCTGGCATCGCACTGTTAGTTTTTCTCGTGCCATTGTTCAGGGAAGGTACAATTGGCTATTACTTTTTTATACCTGTGCCAAAGCGGTACAGCACGCTATAGAAAAGTAAAACTTAGTTGGCTGCACTGACATTTAAAGTAGGTGCTAACGTTTAGAATGACTTATTTTTTTGTTAAGTTTCCCCAATTTTTAAAAACTTCTTCTTGTGTCTAATTACAAACTACTTAATATTCTTTTCAGGAAATGACTTTGTTCCCTTAAGGGGAAGCCATTCATTTAACAAGCTGTTTGTCTTCTTTTTCCATAAGCTATGAGAAGCTGTTATAATGTATACTTCCATATGCATTATTTTTGCAGTGCTAACACGAGAAGAATATTCCCTTTGGTATAGATAAAACAGGGTTTTGATCGACTGGTTTCCATATTGACCATCTTGCACTTATAGCCGGGATCATATGACTAAAAGCTATATAGCCATTGTAAAGGATGTTCTCCCTATTATTTTTTTATTTTTTTTTTGGTTTAAACATTTTTGCTTTCTGTTTCCTTTATCCCCCCCCCCCCCCTTCTTTTGTTGCTTTTTTATTTTTTTATTTCTTGTACCTTTTTAAAAAAAATGTTTTTTTTTTTTTTCCTTACTATTTTTTAGAATTCCCTTTTCATTTGTATTCCTCCTTTTTGAAAGAATTTGTCACATTTCTTTTAACATTTCATGGGAAATCATTTTTATAAGCTCATAACTACCCTTTAGCCCCTGCACGGACATGCATTAAAAGTGCACCTTTTTGTATTGTCAAATTATTTATTTTCATGAAAATGTCACAGTTGTGATGTATTAAGCCAGTACTTCAATTAAATTACGGGTTGACTTACAATGACATATTACATGCTGTGCTTTAACACTTCCTTTTTTTTGTGTGTTTTTTCTTTTTGGCACTTCTGTATTTTAAATTGTTTTTTATATAGCTTGTAATAATTCAAAACTGGCATTTCTTCCCACCCTTACCACCTCTCTCTTGCTATATAATGAAATATAAGCATAAATATTTGTGTTTTATCCCGTACCTCAGTTGTTCTGATTAAACTGCTTGTATCTGTTTTGTGAAATGGTTCAAGTTTTTTGGGTAGGTACATGTAGACTCTGTAAGTATGTAATTGTTACTTGAATTTGTGCTTAACTGTAGTATGTGGCATGTACGTACAGCTACTTGGCATTTGAATTCTGGGACACTGTTTGCCTGCCCTGTGGGAAGACTTTTTATTTAATTGTTTTATTTCCTGTTTAAGGATTTATTTTTTTCCCAGCTATAAAATACAAAACAAAACTGGCTGACCTTGGTTCTATTTTGGTACTTTTAGTAAAAGGTGGAGTGCTGTTAAACACTCGATGTTGCTGTGTTAGAAGGACTTAATTTTTTTCCCTATTCTGTTCCCTAAATGCCCACGATATTTTTATTATGAGCCCCCTCGCCTTTCTAATACCTTATACGAAGAACGACTGGTGATAAAATGCATGGTGGGGTATTATTGCCTCTGGTGCTTTGAATGTTATGTATTTGGTTTATTGTTTTTTGTCCTAATCTCTTCAATAAATTGTGCATATTTAACTAAAAGCCATTTTTTTTTGTCTATTGACTTTGAGTTTTAATAAAACGTTAAAAGATTTAGGTGCACTGCATACCACATTGATCCGTGTTTTAGCAGCTTGTAATTAATTAATTACAGGTCATCCTTTGTGTTTCCTTATAGTGGTATTAAAGTCAAAATGTTTCTAAGCTATTTCAGATGCTGATGGAATCACTTACAATGGATGCTGCTCCTTGATGTATCAACATTTTAGTTTTCTGCTGAATCAGCTGGTCCCCTGAGCACTGGACCTGATATCCTGTTTTAGGGTGTCTGTGAAAGATCTCATTCATCCGGGTCATAGTATATCTGTAAAAAATAAATCAAGGCAACTGGATTTGCTGTATTTTTCTTGAAGACATTTCGCTGGTCATCCGACCTAGCTTTCTTAAAAGAGAAGTAGGGGTAATCTTTTTATCCCATAGTACTCTTTAGGGTCACGGGAGGACATATACTAACCTCCTCCCATGACCCAAAGCTCAGTATATAGCGAGCTACAGCTCATTATATACTGAGAGCGCCGCAGCCAGGACGGATCCTGATACTGTTGAGATCCATGCAGTTGGCTGATTGACAGTGGGCTCTGCCTAACTAGAGGCAGAGCCAGCTGTGCCCTCCCCATCCGTTCCAGTCAGCGCTGGAGGAGCGGAGTGGTGACTGACAGTCGCCGCTCTCTGCAGGGAGATCGTAAAGTGAGCGACGGTATGTGTTCGCTCACTTTCCGATCTATAGAGCTGACGTGCGACAGTTTCATTGTCACACATTGGCTCTAACTATAAGGATGAGTGGAAATCACTCCCCTCATAGTTCTCCTTTAATTCTAAATTGAGAAAGTTAGTTGGATGACCATCTTCAAGAAAAATACAGCACATTTTTTTACAGAGATACTGTTTTATGGCTAGTTCACACCAGCCCCAGTGTGTTCCGGCCCGAGTGGTGCCGGAACGCACTGGATAGCATTCTGGCCAGCTCACGTTGTTTTGGGGCGGGAGGGGGCGTAGCGCTGCATTATGGTGAATGGCACTGCAGCCACGACCTCCGGCCGCAGTGTGATTGCCCGCATCAGTGCCTGCGTTTCGGTCTGGTGCAGTCAGAAAAATTAGTGCATGCAGCATTTTTTCTGACTGGAACACAGGTACGCGTTCTGGTGCGGACGATCGCACTGTGGCTGGAGGGCATGGCTGCGGTGCCATTGACTTCAATGCACACAACACCCCAAAACAAAGTGGGTGGCCGGAATGTGATCCAGTGCATTCTGGCACAAAACAGGGTGGAACGCACTGGGGCTGGTGTGAACTAGCCCTCAGGGTCCCTCTTTTTCCCTTACATCGTCCTATGGAGACACCCTTGTGTGTTCTAGTAAGCTGTGTGTCTCCGCAAACAGACACAGCAGTGCAAGCCATTCACTCCGTAATCAGAAAAATGTGTTTTAGCACAGAAGGTTAAAACGAAGTGCAGCTAGTAAACAGGGTCGGAGGGTCAAAATGAAGTACAAAACAGTAGTTTATTAATTAAAACAGTTGTCTAGTAGTTAACCAAATGCACCATTAGAACCAACAAACCCCACACTGGGGGTCGTTTGTTTTGAGTCATGAAAGAGTGAAATATACTCTGATATTGGTTGTGGTACTCTGGGTACAATATCCTCTTTTTCCACAAGCCATTCACTCCCCTGGGTCCCCTCTCCTCCCCTTCTACAAGGTGGTAGATGGCCAACTGCTGGAGACTATGCTGTGGTTTTGTGATCTACTACTGCACAGGAAGTTCATGCAAGCCGAGCCAAGAGATGGAGCAGGTTGTTCTAAAACCATGATGATTGTACGTATTTGGGCAAAAGTTTAAAGTAATACTTTGCTGGGCAACATACATTTGTTTGATTTGGATTCACTATTGGGGAAAAAAAAGTTTGGGAGTTTAATACTACTTTATGGACAGTTTTAGGCAGCATGAATTATTGGTTTTTGTTCAGGATCAATTTTATATCTCCAAATAAGATAATGAATAGAGGACTTACAGTATGCATCATCTTTTCTTATGACTCTGATATTGCATTTACATGCATCTCATCTCTGAATTTTCAGCTACTACAGTTTTAAAAATGATGGATCCCGTGTGCTTCCCAGTACAGGACGGCACCCGTGTTCTACATAATCATACTGTATAATTAGGTAGCTTCCACCACATCTGTAGAAGATTTGTATAGACAGTAAGGGGGTTGGCATGTTTGGACACTATCATGCAGTGCCAACACTTTGCCTATCAAATCGATGTAAGATTTGCCCAGGACGTGAAGTTTTAAAATGCTGCTGCAGATTTGTACAACTCTAGATGTTTGCACATCATACCTGCGGCAATGTGACCACCTTCACCCAGTAATCTCTAAGGCCCCGTTCACATATAGCAACTTGTCGCGCGATTTCCGCCACGATATCGTGCATTTTTGTCGCGCGATATCGCGAGAAGTCGCCGGCCAATGCTATTCAATGGAGCTGTCTTAACTCCATGTCGCGGTCGCAAGTCGCTTCTACCGGACCCTTTTCGGCAGATTTTGCTTTTTTCTGTGGAGCCCGACGGAGAAGGTTGCGCTATCGTCGCTGAAGCGTCGCCCCGAAAGTCGCGCTATCCCGGCCGCTGAAAAGGTATGTCGCTATATGTGAACGGGGCCTAAAGTAAAACTATGGCCTCCCATTAAAAACAAAAATATGTGCTGATGGTTTCTTTGTTCCCCTGCACAGTCCCACAGGCACCCATTGAGCCTTGCAGGAAAGTCCATCGAGTGCAGGGGTAGCCGAACTCCGGCCTTCCAGCTGTGGTGGAACTACAAATCCCATGAGGCATTGCAAGATTCTCACAGCCACGACTCCCGGAGAGAGATGCTTCATGGGATTTGTAGTTTCACCACAGCTGGAGGGCCGGCATTTGGCTACCCCTGATCGAATGCATCTTCCTGTGATGAGGGTGGCAATGGTGCTGCACTGTTCCTGAATTCGGAGCAGAGTTTCCACTCTTGTAGGTGGTGTCTGCTAGCACTACACTGTGATGGAAAAATGTTGCAGAGGAACATGGCGATCAGCATTGTTACTGATTATCGAAGCCTGGAGCTTGTCAATCAGCACCTGGCCAAACCTACTCACTGCTTTCTGGATTGACAACACTGCCTCTGTTGCTGAAACTTCCCACTGTGCAGCTGCAGGATTCCACACACATAATTGGATTTGGTACTTTAGAGTGTCATACCGGGGATTTTAGTTTTTCTTTAAAGTTTTTTAGTTCCACTTTCACAGCCAAA